CTGGAAATTGTAAAAGAGGATCCAGTTGCAAATATAATCATTCAGTTTTAGTTCCAGGAGGAACTATTTCTTAAGGAGGGGGCAATGTCATGAATTCCTAATCCAACCCTGTGTACGCAAACAACTGACTCGTGATCGAAGCAACCGACTCGTGATCGAAGCAACGCTGACGTGTGGAAACAGCCGGACCGCTTCTCGAATATACAAGAAACGACGAAATGCCTGCCACTGATGTGCTAGAAACAGCTGGAACGGCGGGGAGTGCCGTTTAGTCATAGAAGTAGAATCTTCGCGAGCCTCTAGCAATTTCCAGTAGCGCAGTTGGACTAATATAAATAGCCGACGTATCAGCGCCGATTTAGTTGATTATAGACAGTTTAATATAGAACAATGTATTGAAAAGTTAAAGTGTAAGAAATAAATTAGAATTGTTAGTGTCTAAATATTATATAAATTAAATAGTACGTCTGAAATAAATTGTAAATAGTGTGTTTTTAAATAAATAAACTTATTAGACTTTCGTCACAATATTTCAGTCTTTGAAAAACTGTTGGTTTTCTATCAGACAACTCTCCGGTTTCTTCTTTCCAAAGTAAACCGTTTCCCAACGTTTCTTGCTTTCTATCCTGCGTGTGACTCGTTTCATCATATCTACTGCTTTTCTTTTTTCAGAGTTAACCATTTCTTTTTTGTGCAAATTTTAACGCCGAAGTTTAGTAGAAAGGAAAATTTTAACTTGTTCATATAATTCTGTTTCTAGCTTATTTTGATGATAAATATGTAATGTTGTATTATCCACTCTACCTCTAGTTTGTCATAAATTTCCATGAACCACCCAACATAACTTATTGCGTAACAATGCTGGAGAGTTCTTTGGACCCTATCCTAGCCTATTAAAAGATTCGGTTGCACATTTTGCATATTTTCATATTCTACCTCTCTAAGATGTATTCATGTATCTTTTATCCTTTTTGCACTTATTGATTGTATTGGTACGTGCATATTTTTTTAAAGAATATACATTTTCTATTAGGAAAAACTCTTTTCAATATTTATCTCCTACTTCAAATTTCACCTGTTTTGACTGTATCCTCTTGCATTATTCCTTATCTGTCCATTTAAGACCTAAGCTAGTTTCTTTCCCTGATAAACCTAAATGATTTGCAAACTTCTCATCTATATATGTGACTGTAGAAGCTTCATCAAATAAAGCATTGATTTTCTTCTCTATTCGGTGTTTTTATAATTACTGGTGTGATACGTAATAAAATTTTGGAACTATAAGTTCCTGATGTATGGGCAACGACTTCTTACGAAGAAGCTTTGCCATTATGAAGACATCGGTGATGTAATTTTTCACAACTGTCAATGTCACATTTACTCTTTGAACAACATTGCTTTATTCAATTATTTGTTCTAAACAAAAGAAGCATATGATTTTATATTTAATAAATTTCCATCTGTCTTCTACTGTAAAATCTAAAAAAAATTGACAATTTTAATCATGGTAGATTACTACTAGCGGCTGTTTGTGTCTTACTAGTAAAAGATAGGTAACTCGCTGATTCTGACTTTCATTTGCTTCTTCTGAAAAATTAGTTAAAGATTTGTAATCGTTGTACTTTATAATGGACAAATTTCGGACTTTATTGACCAAACTTTTTACTAACAGATCTGGTCTTCCATATTTTCTTTTTAGTATGTGGATAACTTCACTTACCGATGCAGTAAAATATAATAAATATTTATCTGATCTTCTAGCATCCCCTTTTTAAGCCTTACGAAGTCAGCATATATTTTCTTCATCGGACACCCCAACAACCCTGTTTTTGATAAATACAGTTGATTTTAATATATCACCTCTGAAAACCGGTAAATTATTTTGTATAGTTTGTCAAGCCAAAAGTTGTTTGACACGAATCAATTCTTTAGAATAAAATTTATTATTTTCAAAATTTTGACCGATAATTTCGTACAGAATGACATGTATATTTTGCCTAAATCTTCTTTATATACGTCTCGCACAGATCTAATTTTATTTAGCCAAATACCGACCATATCTTGTAGATCCACACTAAATGAACCTTTATTTTTATAATCTTCTTCGATTTCCATTATATTCTCGCTAAATAAGCTTCTACTTCTGCCATCACTTTCTTCGACTTCATCTACCGCCACGAAATAGGTGCATGTCATAATTCTTTTTCTAATTTTAATCTATTTTCTATCATTTTTCTTTCAATCTTTAATTATTTTTTTATTATCTCTGCTAATTCTTCATCCGGCCTTACTTCAGCTTCTATGTCTTCTTCTAGAGGTACTATTACCGCTTGCATTAGACAGTATTATTTTGTTATCCCTTTTCTTTGAATTTCTTGAGCCTCTTGATTCAATCTTCCTATAATTATTAGCTTTCTTCATACTCTTAGAATCCTCCTGAATTCCACCTATACTATCAACATTTCTCTTCTCCTGAAATGTTTTGGCAGAACTTCCTTTTCTTTGATTTTACTTCTTGTAATCATCACTGCTTCAGTAGCTCGAAGGACTAGCTAATGTTGGTTCTGTAATCAAATTATCTTTTTATATATGATTATTAAAAAATCAATCTGACGTTTTATTTAAATCATTTAATCAATCTCTCTTAAAACTATGGTAACATTTACAATATAATTTGAGTAATATAATCCAACAATCATATAATCTAAGTTGTATAGTATTTTTCAGGAAAGTACGCAATTAATTTTGAAGTGTGACAGCAGTGTAAAGCAAGCGTAGTAGACGTAAATATTGATTTATTTATAAAACGCATGCTCGTTCCTCAGATAAACGCACTCTCACAAACCATTCCCACTCAAATTAGCAGCTGTCTTCTTTTTTTAATGCAGCAGCCGAAGCGACAACTCTGTCTGCGTAATAATAAACAGAATCAAAATGATTGTATTAAAAAAGGACTTGATTATGAATGAATGGCTTAGTCTGGTAGTTTTTCGTCGTTACGATAAGATTAAGTAAATAAGCAAGACTTTTATTGATTTGTCGTATTGTCCTACCGTCTGGTAAATTTTAGTTCTGACCTACTTCAATCAATGCGCACTTCAAAAGTCGTAAAGTTTCTACGATGTTAAGTGTTATTACGCGTTGATAGTAAAATGGCTAAAAATAGTGTACCGAGGCTGATTTAAGTTTATAGTTAATTTTATAGTTTTCTTTATTACCGCAGTTTACATCATATTGTTTTCCGTAATCGTAAGTTTAAATCTAGTTATATTTTTCCGCAGTGTCAAATAAATAACATACTTCATAAACTCGAAATATATCACGTATACTTCGGTTTTAAGTGTACTTAAAAATTTCCGAATAACAATAGAATTCAATAATGTAGGTACTGTTTTGACGAGCTGAAACATAACAATCGATATTATTTTATCCTTATTTAATAAAACATTTTGTTGCATGTACAATATTTATCTAAAGAAAAAATATTTTTCAGCTAAAAAAGAAATTTTGATCATCGCTAATACATTTGAAACTCTTTTTAATTTCCTATCTGTATACAGATATAAGGAAAGTATAGGAATCATGATTTTTTTCGATCTCGAGTTTTCGACGAATTTTTACGTTTTGAGGTCCCCTGAATCCGTTTTGACTATTTTCGCGATGATGTGTGTATGTGTCAGTGTGCGTGGGTGCGTGTGTGGGTGCGTGCGTGTGTGCGTGCGCACGTGCGTGCATGAGTGCGTGCGTGCGTGCGTGTGTGTGTGTGTGTGTGTGTGTGTGTGTGTGTGTGTGTGTGTGTGTGTGTGTGTGTGTGTGTGTCTGTATGTCGCATAACTCATGAACCGATACACAGAAAAACACCAAATTTAAAACTTAAGCTTTATTCCAGCGTCTTATGAACTGATTAGATTTTGGGCAGAGTCGGAACATCTGGGGGGGTACTTTATAGGTGGTCATTTTTATATTTTATGGAATATATCTGTTATTTACGTTTGTAGAAGAAATTTTTTTAAATAAAAGTTACTTCTAATATAATTATCTATAATTTTTTTTTCTTCACAAAATTTTCCTAAAATGGTCCGTATTCGAGAAATTTGACAAAATGTAAAAAAAAAATATTTTTTTATGAAAATTGTTTAAATAAAAGTTGTTTGTAATATAATTCTCTATATTTTTTATTTTATACATAATTTCTCTAAAATGGACCGTTTTCGAGATATTTGAGAAAATGTGTAAATTTCTAATTTTGAAGAAAACTCAAAAACGGATAAAGAAAAAAACATTAAATTTCAAACTTAAGGTTTATTTCGTCCTGACGTGAAATGATTAGATTTTGGACAAAGTCGGAACATCTAGGGGGGTACTTTATGGGGGGCCGTTTTTATATTTTATGGAATATATCTGTTATTTATGTTTGGAGAAGAAAATTGTTCAAATAAAAGTTACTTATAATATTATTATCCATAATTTTTGTTTTATGTCAAAATTTCCTGAAATGGTCCGTTTTCGAGAAATTTGACAAAATGTGCAAAATTCTGATTTTTATGAAAATTGTTGAACTAAAAGTTGTTTGCGATGTCGATCTCTATAATTTTTGTTTATTCATGATTTTTCTAAAATGGACCGTAATGGAAAAGTGCTAAATTAAAAGTTTTCAGTATTTTCGTTTTCAATGAATATCTATAGAAAAATGTTTCGAGGTAGATGTATGTGGACAATGTATATATTTAGTTTATCCTCTAAACATTTATAGAGATGCTGCAATAGGTTGTACAAAATAACCGAAAAAAGCCCTTAATAACTAGATAGGAAAGTCATGTGTTGGACACATCAGATTTTTAAAGAAAGAATTATACCTTAAGTCATGGGTCACCAAGCGGTTTCGGAAAACTATTCTGGTAATATTTTAGTTCCACTTTTTAAAAAGTTACTTTTACGCAGTTCAGTTAACTGCTTAATTAGAATAGATGTATTGTCCATTTAAAAAGTAATAAAAAAAACCAATTTAACTTGCTTTTATTGAATAACATACAATATTTTTAAAGTATATTTTTACTAATTTTATATAATCCAAATTTTAATCCATACAGGTTAAGGATAAACGAAATTCTGAAAAATAAAAAATAAATAAATACATGCATATTTAATTAAATTAAAAAATATTATAGATGAGATTTGCTTTCGTTAGGACTGTGAGTCATGGTTTGCAAGGCAAGTACTTGCCAAGTTTTTGTGCTAGTGAAAAGTCGATAGAAAGTACGGCAACATTGCAAATAGTGGTGGAACTATGAATGGTAATTGTTCATAGCTTCACCCCCATAAAGACAATTAATTTAGTCACCATAATTATAATTATACACGAAATAAAGGAAAACGAGCAATGTTGTAGGGGTGCTCCAATCGAAAAACCAAAAAATTATTTAATATTTCAACCCTCTTCAAGCCCCCATTTTAATTTTTTCAGAATTAATACGTTTTATCTTCATATAGAGCTCGATATTTACTAACAATTTCATGTTGATATCCTTTTTTGTGTTTGATTTACAATTTTTTTTTATTTCAGTACCCCTTAAGCCTACATTTTTAATCAAAACCAATATGAATTATCAATTTGTTTTTACTGATTGTAGTAAATATATATTTAGGTTGCTCTATAGACTTTTAAATTCTCTTAGTAGGTACTAAAAACTTTTATTTTAAGCTTACCGACGTCTTGTTACCTTTCAAAGAAAGTTTTTTTTACCGTAAAACCAAATATAAAAAAATATATGTACGATTATAACATTATGTTCATACCTCTGGATCAGTGCGATGAAGACATTTAGTTGCATTCCAAGCCAAAACAGTAAAATTCTTCTCACCTAAACAACAATAAAAAATATGATTTTAGTAAAAACACTTTACTCAAGAATTAGTTTTGTAGATTGTTGGTATTACAAGTAAAATATATTTAATTGATATAACTTTACATATAATTGTGCTTAAAAAATTTGATGGTTGACAACAATAAACAATATTTTACAATCGTGATTTGAAACTTAGAAAAATGCCCAAGAAAATTAGAAAAATGTATTAAATAATATCTAAAAAAGTTGTATTAAACAATAACAAAAGTATCAATAGAACTAAAAATAGAAGGTAACAAGTGAAAATAGATTAAAAATAGACTAATTAAACATCAACCCGATGGGTAAACCTCTGAGGATATTAGTGAATACAAGAAAGATGTGTCACACGCACGTAGATTAACATTTAAGAGAACAATCATATTCATAGACAATGCCAAAAGGACCTACGTCTATATCTTCGTTATTGTTGGTCCAATTTGCATAAAACAAACGGCGTTGTGAAGAAGACGTAGTATAGATTAACTACGAAAAGAAAAATTAGGTGCAGTCGTAATGCCAAAAGGACATAAGTCATATCTTCGTTGCTATTGGTCCTATTTACATGGAACAAACGAATATAGAATAATGTTGAAGAAAAACAAAGTTTATAAAGTGGTGGATGTAAGTAGTATTTATTTATTTAAAAATATATTAACGTGAAAACCTAATTAATTGGCATAAGAACAAGTACATTATACATACTTTTTAAACAAATTTTAAAAGCGAAAGTAGAGGAAAATGTATATAATCAATTTTCTATAAAGTTTCTAGAAATTATCAGTTAGAAACACGAAAATTGGCCAAGCGGTTAAGGTGTCTGATTTAAACGTGCATCTCCGGGAGGAGGCGTAGTTTTAAATCCTACATCTGATAATTATTTGTTTTTTTTTAAGTAAATACCCGTATTAACATTTTTAACCTTAGGCAGATAGACTTCAACAAACTTTAGCCTATATATTTCTTCTATGATCAAAGGAAATGTAAGTTATTCATTCAACAAGTCTCAAAGCTAAAGTCATTACAGATAGAAAAGATTTAATAATAATCATATATTCTATTAAAAAGTAGAGCTCTGAAAGTGTGTTAATATACAAGGATATTGGAGGACGAAATAAGGGTTTATGAGGATTTATGAAGGATTCATAAGGATTTTAGTGGAAGTATGCCGTTTAAAGATTTAAAAGAAAGTATGAGGATGTTACTATATAAAATTTAGATCATTAATTTTCTCCTCGCATTAACTACTAAGAAAAAACAAACCAAAAACGAGAATAAGTAAAAACCAAAACAAATGGTCCAACTTTTTCTTTTCTTACCACTTTCTCGGGCTTCATCAATACAACTCATGAACATTTTGGCAAATTTTCCTTTTAGCTTAGGTGGTTCTAGATCCAACAAATAATTTTTATTACCATGAAGATTTATAACACCGTCATAACTAGGAAGCATCTAAAATACAAAAATATAAACTTTTGCACTTTAAACCTGTAAATTTTGAAATATTCTTACTAACTCTTTTTTATTAATGCTCCGATTATAGAATTTATTTTACTTTTACATCATTTAATTTCATTATAATTATAAATTTATCAAAACGAGCATACTTACTACACCAGAATGTAACCAAAGACATGTATTGTATCTCTAAAAAATAAATAATATTAACGAAAATTATAAAAGAATGAAAAAATGTTTGAAATAAAATTAAGTAACTTATATCGTTCTAAAAATGCTGCCATTATTTCTGATTATAAATGGACAATTTATCTGTCTTAACAAAAAATATTTAAATTTAGAGATATTCAGAGGTGATTTAATCGTGGATTTTGCTGGTTTTCCATTTTGTAACTATTTTTATTACAGGACTGAAGATTGTACGACAAATTTTTTAATGAATTAAACAGTTGGAACAGCGTGAGTAATAATATTTCCACCATATTTATGAATATTAACAGAATTTCCTACTTTAACGTTTAAAAGCCGAGATATGTTTTTTCTTCAGTGCTCTTCAGACATTTATGAGGATAATCACCCCTTAAAAAATTTTAAACCTAACCTTTTATAAGGTAATAAAATATATTATAATCAAAAATAAAGACTTAAATTTTTCGACTACCCCTCCTAGACTTAAACACTTGATGCGCCACTGCTATGACAAACATTACATTGTAAAATATTTATCTATTAAAAAGCAATCATATATTTACCTTAATGCGTATATTGTTTTCGGCAAAATTTCCATTTCTTACATTTTCTATCTCTAGATCAGATACTCCAGTTATAATTGAGCATTCAGCATGTAGGTGTCTAATTGCCTCAGCCAAATTTGGTCCATAATCCTGAAAGGGTTGCATTACATGTAAGCTTTTATTTTGCAAAACAAACCTTATTAAAAAAAGTTATAGAAACTAGAAATTTGAATAAGAGTTTTTTAGTATATTTACCTTGGGATGCAATGAAGCAAATATTGGTGCAGAAAGTATCACTAAACATAAAAACTTCAGCATGTTCATGTTGGTCTGCCTGAAAATGTTTTTATGAATTATTTAAATACGAATAGTATATAAAGTAGTATAATTAGTATAGGAAATATTAATATTGTAATAATTCGTGAGCGATATCTGTTTTCCTAATATCAAACTATTAAAATAAACTTTTAAAAAATTGACTACATACTAATGAGTTGTAGGCCTAAAATAACAATTTAACCTACATGCAAACCATAAATTATATTATTATAGTACAGGGCAATTAGGTATGCACTGGCCTAAAATAACAAGCTTGCCTATTTTGAAATATTTTTCAAAATTATGTTACAGTACATGGCATCTCACCATTCTGACTTATTAGTGTATTATTTCTAGTCAATAATTGGCAAAAAAAAACAATCACAAAAAATTACCTGATAAGTGATAAATAGGTACCCAAGTATCAATGATAAAAAAAATGGGCTTTTATAAATAGTTTCTACAGCATAGGTACTATTTAAGTATTGGAGACAAACAGAGCTCGGCATTACTTCAATAATTGGTACTCGTAAATACTTTTATCCTGATGGGACTTAAAAAATTTCAAAAACTTTATATTTGAATAAAAATATTAAGATTTAAATAATTTTATTTTCTGAGGTACGTTAAGGCGGGTACAGATCTGAGCACGTACGCGTATGAGGCAAGCCGAGGCCGAACCGAATGCCTCGTGCGACGCATTTTGTATACACGAATGATGGACGCACGAGGCGATGTTCGCCACTGATCCAGTAAATTCGCGAGCACGCAACTGTATACCCAGAAAATTCGTAAAATTAAAACAAAAATGAAGGATGAGGATGACGTTGCGGACTTAAGTGCATGCTTTATAATTTTATCCGACACATTAAAGAAAAAAGGAGGGGAATCGATGGCTGATTTCCTGCCAAGGATATCCTTTTTTTATTGTGTTGTTACAGAACTGGAGTTTTGCTCTCTTAAGATATCACGCTGATTATTTAAATCCAGAAGAAGCAAAACGTTTTCCTGGTTCCATTCCTTGCAAAATAATACTAAAAACTCGCTATAATCTGTACGGTGCTGTATGGTACAAATTCACCGTCCAGACTGAGCACGTACTGCGCATTGCCTCCCTTTGATGTATCGCCATGAAACGGATCGGGGCGAGGCCGTACGGCGCACACAACGAGGCAATTTGCCGCGCCTCGGAAGCCCGTCCACATCTGCATGCTCATGCGTCCTGGGCTTGCCTCATACGCGTACGTGATCAGATCTGTACCCGCCTATAAACGAACCTTCAACAGTACACGTAATTCGGCAAAACAATAAATTCAATGAAAATGTCCGTTCTTAGTGACTTTATGACAACTTAAGAATAATTTCTGTCAAATAAGTCACTAACATTATTGTAAGGTTACTCAATTTGATTACGTGGGGGAAAAGGGCAGCTTCAAGACGAATTTTTTTGGGGGGGAGGGGGGTGCACTGCCTTTAGCCATTACCTTTTTAGCATATTTTTTGAATAAAAGGCCCATAAATCGGAAGAATTTTCATCTCGGAGGGGGGGAGGGGCATGGCCCCTTTGGCTTCCCCTGGATAGGACCTTGCGTGTGATACACGTATTGTTGAAGACCTTCTGACAAAAAATAAACAGTTTTAATGAGTTCGTTTTAGAAATAAATATTCTACAACGACATTTTCTCATATAAAACATCTTCACAAAACTTTTCCACCTCAGGTTAATCCAATTTTTGACAAAAATTTTGATATATGATGCATTTAACAAGATGGCTGTCTGGGTAGCTAGCTAAATATGAAAGATAATAAAAATGCCTATGGGAATGGTTTAGTGATCGTCCTCGTAGAACTCTGGGACCATGTAGACGTATGAATCGAATGAATGAGAAGGAGTAGAGCATCCAAATGGTGGCTTATAAAGTTACAGTGCTGCCCTACGATACTACGATACTCAGAAGGTTATGCAGACTAGAACATAAACTAAACTGTGAAGAATCTGCTTGAACCACAGAGAGATGTTTTAAAGGGTAAAAAACAAGATTTTTAAGAATCTAATTAAATATGATTAGAAGGTGAACGTTTATTTTGAAGTTTTGATTATGTAGATATGATTAATGGGTTTGTATTTTGTAGACATTTTTCATCTTTATCAAGGCTGTAAATACATATTATGGTAATAATAAAGGCCAGACTTTTACATTTTTTTTTTTGGTTATATTAAGAATAGTGCTGTTGAGGAATGCATTTATTTTTATTATAATATTTCCAAATTTAAAGCTCTCTGATTTTTTTTTTTTTTGGAAACTGAAAGGAATTAAAAAACACGTATATCTAGATAATATTACCTAATTTATTTTGACTAAATTTTAATTTTACAACAAAGTTACTTTTTGAAATATCCTTGTCCGAAAATTATAAGGAATGCTGTATTCATCTTAAAATGTTAGTTTTGTATTTACTCAAAAAAATATAAGAAACAATTTTCTGTGTCGACCTTTGTTTTGGGTTTAAGCTTTAAGCTCATTTCATTAAACAGTTAACAATTTTTTGGGGAAAAATAAAAAAAACGATTTAAATAAAAATACAATATATTTAAAATATTTTTATTAATTTAATATAATTCAAATTTAAATCCATACAGCTTAAGGATAAATGAAATTCTGAAAAAATAAAAACAAAATTGTATATTTAATTAAATTATAAAATCTTAAATATAAAATATTTAGATTAGATTTGCTTTTATTAAGATTAAGAGCCATGGTTTGCAAGTCACTTGTCAAGTTTTTGTGCTAGTGAGAAAGCGATAGCTAGTACGGCAACATTGCAAATAGGGGTGGAATTATGAGTGGTAATCGTTCATAGCTTCACCCCCATATAGGAAATTTAGACACTATAATTATAATTATACAAGAAATAAAGGAAAACAAGCAATGTTGTGGGGTTGATCTAATCGAAAAACCAAAAAATTATTTAATATTTTAACCCTCTTCAAGTCCCCATTTACTAAAAATTTCATGTTGATATCCTTTTTTGTTTTTGATTTACGATTTTTTTTTTATTTCAGTACCCCTTAAGCCCCCATTTTTATTCAAAATCAATATAATTTTTATTTTTTTCTACCGATTGCAAGACATATGTACTTAGGTTACTTTTAGTACTATAAATTTTATTATATTATTTATATTATAAAGCTTATCGAGGCCTTGTTACCTTTCTAAGAAGGTATTTTTTACTGTAAAACTAAATATAATAATATTGAGTTCATACCTCTGGGTCGGTGCGATAAAGACATTTGGTTGCAGTCCAGGCCAAAACAGTAAAATTCTTCTCACCTAAACAGCAATAAAAAATATTTTAGTAAATACACTTTACTTAATATTTAATGTTTTTAAATATAAATAATTTTATAACTGTTTTGGTTTGATTTGATCAATATTTGATCTATATTTTCGTTATTGTTGATCCAATTTGCTTAAAACAAACGGCGTTGTGAAGAACACGTGGTATAGATTAACTACGAAAAGAAAAATCATGCGCAGTAACATTGCCAAAAGGATATGTCTATATCTTTATTGCTATTGGTCTGATTAACATGGAACAAACGGTATTATGAAAGACACGAATATAAATTAACGTTGAAGAAAAAAAATCAGGCTTATAAAGTGGTAAAGGATAGTACTTTAACTATTATAACGAGTGAAATTGTAACAGTCAGATTGGCCAAGCGGTTTAGGCGTTTGATTTAAACATGTATCTCCGAGAAGAGGTGTAGGTTTGAATCCTACACTTGGCAATTATTTATTTTTTGAAGCAAATATGCGTATCAGCATTGTCAGAAGGACCTTAGGAAGACAGACTTCAAAAAATTTTAGCCTATACATTTCTTTTATGATCAAAGCAAATGTAAGTTATTCATTCAACAAGTCTCAAAGCTAAAATCATTATAGATAGAAAATATTTAATAATAATCATATATTCTTATAAAAAATATTAATAATAAAAAGTGTATCAGGATTTTGGAGGATGAAAGAAGGGTTTATGAGGATTGATGAAGGATTTATAAGGATTTTTGTAGAAGTATGCTGTTTAAGGATTTAAAAGAAAGTATGAGGATGTTGCTGTATAAAATTTAGGTCATCAACTATTGAAAAAAAAAAAAACAAACCATAAAGGAGAATAACTAAAAAGTAAACCAAAACAAATGGTCTAACTTTTTCTTTACTTATCGCTTTCTCGGGCTTCGTCAATACAATGTAAGAACTTTTTGGCAAATTTTGCTTTTAGCTTAGGTGGTTCTATATCCAAAAAGAAATTTTTATTCCCATGAAGACTTGGAAGTCCGTCGTCACTGGGAATAAACTAAAATACAAAAATATAAACTTTTACAATTTAAAACTGTATATTTTGAAATATTCTTTATACCTATTAAAAGATGCATTCTTTTTTATTAATGCTCCGATTATAGAATTTAATGAATATTATTAATTGAATAATTCATTATAATTATAGATTTTATCAAAACGGGCATACTTACTGCATTAGAATGTAACCAAATACAAAATTAAATTATATTAAGGAAAATAGTTAGGCACATTTAAATATCGTAAAAGAATGAAAAAATGTTCGGAATAAAATTAAGTAACTAATATCTTCCTAAAAATGCTGCCATGGACAACTTATATGAGGAGTGAGGAGGTCAGAAGCCAAGGGTATCAAGTCGATTTTTTTGCAGTATTGGGTTAAGTGCAGTAAATACTGGAAATATAAATTTACTTAGTGGCAAAGAGATCCAGGTCAAAAAAGTGTTCTACTGCTGTCATCTAGGAATTAAAAGATTTACTACTTGAGAGAGAGAGAGTGTTACGTTGTAATCGTCACTCCCTTATTATAATTACAATATTTAATTAGTTCAAATATTCCAATATATTCTAATACTTTTTGAGCGCCCCTCGTATTTGGAAATATAGATATTATGTTAAAACGAGAATTTGTCTCTGTCTGGGATATTCTACGGCTCAACCAATGTTGCGCCTTCTCTAAAAATCAATAATTATGGTCAGAGGTTGTGCGCACGCTTGGCTTACCTATGGATGTGGAATACTCACGTTTCACATTTGGTCGTTTT